TCTTTCTGGAATAAAAGTTTCAAGACTCCATCATGCACTAGTCACTAGATATCGGCTTGTCCAAACGTAACGCTGTGACATTTTGACAAATTGCGTTGCAGTTATCTCGAAAGGCATAAGGGCTAATAAGGTCGTTCAAACCTCATTCGACGCAGCTCATCATACTCTATTTATGTCGCAAGAACGACCTAGTTTGACTGAACTCTCGCGTTTCTAGAAAGGTTTTATCATCGCGTAACGCTGTGACAAAAAAGGACCCTTTTTCTCTAGAGCTGCTTAAGAAACTCTAATTTTTTGACAAATTATTTCTTTAAATGAAACGCTTATGGTGCCAGTTTTGTAGAGAATTGAATGAGCTTTCAAGCAGTAAAAAATATTTTTTCTAAACTGTTTTTGCTTAGATAAAAAATGCAAAAAACAAACGTAACGCTGTGACATGTTTTTTTGTCGACCAAATTTGAAGCACTTAGCATGCTTAAAAATATTTAATGTTCACATATATTGATCACTGCCGTATTTATATCGTTCTGTAAAAATATCAAGTTGTTACATCGAAATGGGAGTTCAATAATTGTACAGTAAGTTAGAAACTGTACAAGAGGTTAGTAGTTGCTCTGAGGAATGAGAGTAAAAACTGAATAGGCCATTTTGTAGAGAATTAAATTCTGCATCGAATGGTATATTACTCGGCATTTTAGTTTTAAATTTCTTGGTTAGAAAATTGAAAATACGATTTTTGAAAACTTTAAAACCCGGTTTTCGATGCCAAAACCCAATTAGTTTTAAGAAAAATGCCCAAATTCATAATCAATGTAAAAAATTGTACCATAAAATAAACTTAGATGTGTCGAAATCGAAAAAAAAATTTTTTAATACTTGGGCAGCGAAGTAGCGCGTTACGTGGACAAGCCGTAATATCATAATAATAAAATTTCGATAAGAACTGTTTTTGTGTAAAACTTAACTAACGGATGAGGCAGATTAATACGTTTTGCATTTCAATTTTCAATCATTCAATACGTTGTATTAAAAAACATAATATACAAGTACAAGATGCAACGTGAAAAGCTCTACAACTTACAAAGAACAGTTTATTTTATATATGAAATAAGAAAAACAGAATTTTGATTTCTTTGACGAGAAATATACAATTAAAATAAGCATTACTCTGTAGATTATAGAGCTTCTCACGCTGGATCTTGTGATGTATTTTGTTTTTTTTTTAAATAAAAGATATCAGGTGACAAAAAGATCAAATAAGAAAAAATGAATTCATCTTCTACCAAAAAATATCGTTTTCGTACGATCGAAAAATGATCGCTCAAAATTTTGTTCATTTTGAAAACAAAAAGTGCAACTGATAAAAAAAAAGACGGTCTTATGTAAATTTTAGAGCTTGTCACGTTGCATCTTGTACTTGTATATTTTATTTTTTAATAAAATATATTAAGTGATTGAAATATTTAATCTGCCTCATCCGTTAGTTAAGTTTTACACAAAAACAATTCTTATCGAAATTTTACTATTATGATAGTAGCCGAAGATTGATCAAATAGCATAGAAAAATAGAACATCATTTTCTATATCACTACATCAAGAAAGAAAATTTCTTCGTGCATTCTGTTTAAAGTTCAGAATTTATGAACATAAGATTATTAATTGATGTTTCTTTCTGTAAAATATACAAGATTTAAAAACTACATATGATCGATTTTATAATTATATATATTTAATTATTTTAATTCGTTTTATTCAAAAAAGCTTTAATTTAAAGTAATGGAAAAAAATTTAGAAACGACGATTTTTTTTTGATTTTTTTTCATAATGTTAAACACGTAACTCCAATCCAAATAGTGATTTTAATAGCCAATGGTTTTTTCTATTCAATACACTTTATAGCAAGATTTCACAGATGAACAATGATGGAAAGGCTCCTAAAAACCGAAAACGGTATTTTTCAGGTTGTAGAAGACTTTGCCAGAGCTTATTTTTGAACGGTACCATCTTAAAGAGCATAAAGTTCTGAGCAAAATGAGTGGTCGCCGAGTTTTCAGCGAACTTCTCGTAAAAAGTTACAAGTATTACAAAAATCATGAAAAAGGTGTTTTTAGGCGATTTGTAAAAAAATTTCGTTTTTTCATGATTTTTGTGATGATTGTAACTTTTTATGAGAAGTTCGTAGAAAACTTGGCGACCACTCATTTTGCTCAGAATTTTGTGCTCTATAAGATGGCACCGTTCAAAAATAGCTCTGTTAAAGTTTTCTAGAACCTGAAAAATACAATGTTCGGTTTTTTAGAAGTCTTTCCATCATTGTTCATCTGTGAAATCTTGCTATAAAGTGTATTAAATAGAAAACTCCATTGGCTATTAAAATCACTATTTGGATTGGAGTTACGTGCTTAACATTATGAAAAAAACCAACAAAATTCTTCTTGACTATAATATCTAAGTCTAGTTACCCCCGACTTCTAGTCAAGAAATTCTTGGATCCAATAGACTCTGCCCTTTGAAGCACTCCTAAATTCAATAAAGAAAAAAAAATGTAATGATTAAGTATTCTAACTCTCAAACTTGAATCAAAACATCATCTCTTTTTTTTTTCTTCTCATATGCAATTTACTCTCTATATCATCAATCAATATGACTAATTCGACAGTTTCATCATTACAATGTGAATGTGTACAAATGGAAATGATGCATAAAGATTGTACATTAAAAAAAAACATGTAAACATAAATTTCAAAATCAATTAATATTCTCATTCTATATTACAGAAAAAAAAAGAGAACGTCCTTGTATATTTCACCAGTTGGTACCTTCTTTTTTTTTTTTCATGTATATGCAAATGAACTATATGTGATCATCAAGAATCGGTTAGTTTTATTTCTTTTACTTTTACTATTCATTTTTTACTAGTCACGCACGACAATCAACTAGATAGATATGGTTCATTAATAGATAAGTATCATCTTGAAATAATAAACAAATTGTCAAATAAAATGAATATCTTCGTTCACTTTCTTTTTTTTTTTGTTTTTCTTAAATGATGAACTTGTTTTCATTGGTGGAAAAATCAAAGATATACAAAACATTTCAACTATATAAATAAGTGCTAGTAAAGAAGAATATATATATATAATAAAATTTTTGTTTTAGAATAAACGATTAGCTATCGAACAGGTTCACATTTGTTTGCTTATGATTATTATCAATTAACAAAAAAAAGACGAAGCAAGTATTTGTGTACCTGCACGATATTAATCGAAATTCGACGAAAATATATGAAATATTAATTATAACAAAACAGAATATATATTAGATAAAGAAGATTATCAAGAAATAGGCTCATCACCTGTAAACTGAACGCAATATTTTTTATTTTCAGTTGCCAGGTTTTTGACCCTCTTACGAGAATCTATATGCATCAATGGTAAATTCTTATTATTTATTTATTTGATTGATTGTCTTCTATTACAGAAATAGAAAATATTACCAACAGCTGTATTTTTACATAAAGTTAAACAAAAGAATCAGCTGTTCATTTCATTCTCGAAAGACTTCAATGCATAACTAATTTCATTGTATTATAGAAACACATTTTAACTATAACTATTGAATATAATGGCTGTCAAAACTATACTTCAGGTACTTATTATATATCTGTTCGTACTACCGGCAATTTTATTTGATATGAATTACATACCTTTGACATACAATAAACTCCATCTTGCAATAGAAGACTCTTATTAATTCATTTATCTCGAAATTGGAACTGAAAATCTTAAAAGATTGAAGTCAACATTATTTCTAGAATTTTACATAGGACAGTCAAAAAGTAATGGGAGCGATACTGTAATTCCTTATAAAAATTTTTAAGAAACATTCTCTTTATATAATCTGATAGAAAAAAGAATGCTATTTAATTCATATCATAATAATAAAATTTCGATAAGACCTATTTTTCTATCATATATAGGTCGGATATACAAATATCTATTTAGTGGATAGTTATTCGTAAATTATAGATTTTTTGTGACATGGCTTTTTTACCGTTTTCAATAGACCTCTTTGAATACAAACCTACTCAGTGAAATGTTTACAATGAATTCTTCATTGTCAGATGTTAAGAATTAATCATTCAGAAGTTATAGGTATTCGAAGTTTATATTTTTCCATACTTAGAAAATTGATTAAACAAACTGCAGTATCACTCTCACTACTTTTTCACTGTCCTATGTAAAACCTTTTCCTTAATCTCTAAAAACTATTTTAATTTAAAATATAAAAATAATGGAAAAATAATCGAAGATCATTTTGAAAATTTTGTTCGTTTGAATATCATAGGAAATCTAAGAAAAATTTTATTGAAATACATCAAAAAACATACAATCGAAATAAATAGAGTTCGATAGTATGCAATTTTGGAGAAAGTTTCACGTTGATACTCACTTGTGCTGTGGTACAGAGTTTAACACACTCAAATATCATATAGTCAAGAAAAGAGCTCATTTTAAGAGTAATGATGAACACTATTGATTATAGAAAATTGAAGAGAACCTTTAATTGTATCAAACTGAGTTTGCATAAGTTTATCATAGAATATCATATGGATTACAATGTCTATGAATATCGCCCAAGTATTATAATTAATTTAGAATAGATCAACAAATCCACCGGAGTTGTATTTCGAATTACTGGCATTATTGTTTATTCATTAAAAACATTATCATTTATTTTCTAAATCAGATAAAATCCGTTTGAATATTTTCATTTCATATTTTTCAACATTCTCTCTTATGTATATATATTTAGAAAAAAGAAAAAGAAAACAAACAATTAAACATATCTAATGAAATAAATAAACAAAGGTAATTTTTCTTCGTTTACAATATCAAACAAAGAAAATTTCATAACAAACAAATAACACGATTCCGAACATATTCTGGGAAACTAGGAAAACTATTATACATAAAACAGGTTCTTATTTTGTTTTCAGTTCATCTTAAGTTGTCACCATTGTTGATACTCAATAATTCTTTTTCTTGATCTTTACTAACTTGATATAAAACATTTTTATTCATTTTATTCTAAATAGATATATATGAAAATTTTTCTAAGACAAAAAAAAAATCTTACTCGTCGATTAAACATAAATAATTCTATTATAATCACAATAGAAATAAGTAATAAACATATAAAAATTATATAACTTAATTTAAATAATTGATGAACATTATGAAGTTTTCCTAGAACAGAAGTAACACTTTTTAATCGATACATTGTTTCATCATTAAGATTTATTAACTAAAACAAAAACAAAAATAAAAACCTAACGAAAGAAATAAAGAAATTTTTACTTGATCAATCCACACCATTGGAACAAAACGACGAATAGCACGAGTACCAGTAGGACTTAAAAATAAAAAATATCTTTTTTGTTTTTATTTTTCTTTTGTAAAAAA